AAGGTACAAAAGGCCCCTAATCGCGACGAGAAGCAGAACAAGTCCGCCAAAACCCGTGCCAGGAAGTTGTACCTCAACATGCTGACGAAAGTTGAATGCTGCATCATGGACGACGAAACATATGTGAAGGCCGACTTCAAACAGATCCCCGGCAACCTGTTTTTCACGGCCAAGGATAAGTTCAGCGTTCCGGAGCATGTCCGCACTCAGAAGATGTCCAAATTTGCGAAGAAATTCCTGGTTTGGCAAGCCATCTGCACGTGCGGGAAGCGGAGTGCACCTTTCGTGACCCAGGACACGATGAACGGACAGGTGTACATAAAAGAGTGCCTCCAGAAGCGGCTGCTTCCTCTCCTGAAGGCCCAAAACGTCCCAACAATCGTCTGGCCGGATTTGGCCTCATGCCACTACTCCAAGGACGTGCTGAAGTGGTATGCGGACAATAAGGTCAATTTCGTGCCGAAAATGTTCAACCCTCCCAACACTGCGGAGCTCCGCCCCATCGAGAAATACTGGGCGATTATGAAGCAGCACCTTCTTAAACGACCTAAGGTAGTGAAGACAGTCGAGGAACTGAAGAAAGTATGGGTTTACATGCAAAAAACGGTTGATTCACAGGTTGTGCAGAATCTTATGGCCGGGGTTAAGGCCAAGGTGCGGGCATTTGCGTATGGACTGTAAATAAAATACGAGTAAAATGGTAAAATGAAGTTTAATAGTTATTTCTCAATCCCTGAAAATTTGATGGCAATCGGATGAAAACTCGAATTTTGCGAATCAATTTTGTGTGTGGCAATTTCATCGTGGACACCCTTTAAACTGCGGAGCTCTAGGGTCAGTTTCATGGATTTACCACTTTTAAGAATGTTCCAGATCTTCCAGAGGACGGTCTTATACCCATCCAGGTCCATGTTTACGTCCCGACCTAATTTTTTTTCTTATTTCACAGTTCCAAGATTTAAAAAAAAACTGCTGAGCTCTAGAATCAGTTTCATGAAAGAACCAATTTTACTGATGCTCCAAATTTTCCGAAGGACGGTTCCATAGCCATCCGGGCCCATGTTGATGTCACGAACCCAAATTCTTTCTTATATTACAGTTCCACGTGTTTTCGAAAAAACTGTGGAGCTCTAGGATCAGTTTCATGGATGGACCACTTTCATGGATGTTCCGGATTTTCCGGAGGACAGGTCCAGGTTTATGTCATGATCCCAAATTCTTTCTTATATCACAGTTCCTAATGTTTTTGAAAAAAAAAACCGCAGAGCTCTAGGATCAGTTTCATGGATGGTCCACTTTTAAGGATCTTTCGGATCTACCGGAGGACGGGTTTAGTGATCTCAAGGTTCTTGGTTCGAATCCAGTCTGATGCTTTATTTTATTCTTTTTGCATTTTTTGGTTAAAAGTTAAACCCATGAATTTAGCTCATGATTTCAACTCGGATGATTCATGATTTTGGGAATATTTGCTGCGTTACGCAAAAGTTGCTCATGATATCATGAATATTATTCATGGTGTATTTTCATAACATGAAAATACGCTGTGTTCATGAAATCATGAGTCATTTTTCTCATTTCGGAGATCAGATTTTTTCCCGTGTGTTCATGTTTATATATCCCAGACAACCAGAATGCACGTTATTCAAAGTTGTTTTCGTGATATACAAACATATATACAAACAAACAATTCGTATAGAATGCAAAGAAATGGCTTATACGTACAAAAGTGGAGGCCATATAAGTGCATATTTTAATTTAATTTTAAAGGAGTTGATTTAACATCATATGCGATTTAATCTGTAATAACAAATTCATTTTGAAAAGTCTTACGATGTAATCCTATTTAATTTGTAATACAGTACGACGGAAAAATGAGTCATCGCATATAAGTCGGAAATTTGCATTCTATACGATTTAACTCAAACGTAATGCGAGGTATGCCATTCTTATATGCGATTTTGACTTAAACTGTAGCAATTTACGATACTGTCTGTACATTGTTATACGACTTCTGGTTGTCTGGGATTATATCACAGTTAGTAATGTTTTCGAAAAAAAACCACGGAGCTCTAGAATCAGTTTCATGGATAAATCACTTTTAAGGATGTTTCGGATTTTCCGGAGGACAGGTCCAGGTTTATGTCATGATCCCAAATTATTTCTTATATCACAGTTCCTAATGTTTAAAAAAAAAACCGCGGAGCTCTGGGATCAGTTTCATGGATTGACCACTTTTACAGATATTTCGGATCGTCCTGAGCATACTCGTGTGGCCATCCGGGTCCGTGTTTATGCCATGAACCAAAGTTCGGAGCTGTAGGATCAATCTTCGTGGATTGACCAATTTAACGGATGTACCGAATCTTCCGGAGGACCGTTCCGTTGTCTCCAGGATCAATATATAGGAACCATGGCAAATTATGAACTTGTGTGCCCATTAATCTAATTTATGGATCTTAGGCCACTTGCAAAACCCATGAACACTCCTTTAAAAAACGTGTAACGATTTTTTTCACTTTTGAATAAAGTAGACGACCCTATTTTTAATCTTTTAACAGTCAAAATAATCTACAGACCTTAGGAATTCTAGAAATACCATAATTTTTGCAATGGCTAAGTAATGCTATTGCAAACTTGCCGTTACACGTTTCTTGGAGGCACCGTATTCGAAGTGTTAATAGGGTTTGCAAAACAATTTTGAAGGTTATGATAGCAGTTAGTTAAAACATCAAAGCTTTTATAAGAAAAGCTCTGTCAAGTACATTGAAATATTTCAATATTTCCTTTCAATCCTTGTGTTATTTAAAAAGTTACCTACGAATACTGGGTTTCTTATTAAGCAGCCACTCCTGAAGATTTTGTCTTTCTGCAGATTTTGGTTTCAGCCGTTACGACGCAGAAAAAGAACATAACACTAGCAAACGCCATTTCCGGTCGTTGAATCACCGGAACAAATGCTTACACTTTTCCAAGTTTTACTCTGGTTTATTATTTTTTCAACACTAAACTAGCCTTTACACTATTTCGGAACTATAAAATAGTAGAATAACACTAGAAAATAACTAAAAATTGAGGACCAGATTTTATTTGGATTATCAATTCGACATGGTTGCCAGACCCTCCATGAAGACAAATTTCGCTTTTGAAGCTTTTGCTTCAAGCGAAAGTTTTGAACAATGGTTGTGTGACTGTGTATTTGTAAGTGTGTAGTCAGGATTAAGAATCGGTGGTATATCTTACATCTCATAACGTACTCTGAAAATGTGATCTACCCACGCTACGGTGAATAGCGGTAGCTACTCAACAAGAGTGGCTTTCCATTACTTTATGGTAGAAATAAAAATAGGATACACCACAATAGATCAAACTAATGGTCACGGTGGTATTATGTCCTCAACACAGGAAAAATAAAGTTACTTATTAAAAAAAACATTGCCTCTCACCCCAGCAGGCCTGAGTTCAATCCCAGTTGGCGCCGCCGGGATGTTCTAAGGCATAACATCTCTGATCACGCCTTCCTTCGGAAGGGAAGTAAAGCCGTTGGTCCCCGGTTCATGAGTTGATGGGTCGATAGGTAGGGTCCAGGTGTGGGAGCTGCCTTCCTGGCATCGGTAGCATTGGTGCTCAGCACGGAAAACAAGATCGACGGAAAATAAATCGAGAAAAAAAAACTTTGTCTACCATTACGCTGGTCTGTATCGACTAACTAAAATGTTTATATTTAGAATAGATGAAATTTTTTCCCGAAGAAGCTATCTGCCTTAAACAATTTATTCCACCTGAATACGACTTCTGGACCACTGTACATTGGTTCTCCGAAGGTCTCTCGATTAGCGGTTTAACTGTAATCACGCAGGGCTGTGCGTAGCCGGTGTGGTGTGCATCCAATGTTTTCTGAATATATCAAAACCAATACATGGGTGATGTTGTGATTGAAGGAGTTCTGTTCTCTGAAAGTACAATGTATGGTTGTGTGTGTCTTTCCTAATTTATTTAGATCATACGAAAATTAAAAATATATACATGATTGAGAAAAACTTCCTATTAGTCTCACGAGTCTCTTGGGACTCGACAAATATCCTCCTTAGTATTCCAATTTTTGACCCTGACCAGCCAGAAGGTAAATTATTTCCATCTCCTGTACATACTCCAATTATAATCAATCCCTCCTGGCTCCTACTGGTACAAGTAATAACATTTCCGTTAATGAATAGCAATATTGCAAAACAAGCTGACGCAGCCTGCCACATAAATTAATCTCCATTCCGACCGCATGTTACATCTAAACCGTCCTTTAGACCATCAGCTTATAAGCTTACTGCCCCCCTGGCGTGGGGAATTTCGGTGCAGATATTAATGCCCTTTGCATGTGCTTGTGTGTTTTCGTCCTCTTTTCCTTATTATTTTCCTGTATGTAATCAGTGTCTATAGCTTAAGCTTCTTTTCCGTGCTTCAGTTTGTCTAGAGCTGTATCCCACATGTAGCTACAATATGAAATATCAATGTGTGACCAATCTCCCTCATTGACCATCCCAAATTATGACTCCCCCCCTGCCTGGTACGATTAATATCCTAGGCGTGATGTAAAGGTGCACGCACTCAGCACTCTCAGTGACGCCCTGCATGCAACCGGTGTGATAAGAGAGGAACAATCTAATTTAAAGATTAATTTATTTTACTTCCACTCCGAAGGGCTGCACTGAATAGAATGTGCACTACCCTACAATGAATGAGTTCACACGCATCGATGCTGCTTCTACTGGTGGCATGCCGACAGTGGAACTGGAAGTGCAGCCTGCGGTGGTTCACCGGGCCAGAGACCCCTTTACATCACGAATGCTTTGCCTGAAATAATTATTTCCTTTCACAGACGCTATCAACCGACCGTATGATATTAATTAAATTTTCTTGATTTCTCTCTCGTTCCTACATACCAACGACGACGGATACTCACATCACACTGCCTGCGGGGGAAAATTGTTGGCCACCGGAACTCACAGGTCACGGCAACCGATGGCGATAAGGACCGACCGCAGAATATCGTCTACTTTCTCACCGGGCAGGGTATCGATCCGGAGAACCCGGCCAACAGCAAGTTTGACATCAATCGAACCAGCGGGGACATATTCGTGCTCAAGGTAGGTGTCAATCGGCGACAATTTACTCATCTTCCCTTTTGCATTGGATGAACTCAATCACGCTACGCTTGGTATTATCCAGGCGACGACGACAGGGTGGAAAAAAAAATCAAACGCTGCCACGGATGGCTGCTGCAATCATTATCCTTCACAGTTCTGGCGAAAGCAGCCGGGAGCCGAACGTCATCATAAATCATGAAACTTATGCAATTTATCTGTGAGATTGCGGGTGTGTGTGTGTGCTTATGTTGTATGTGTCTATGTCGTCGTCTTGCCGACGATGAAAAGAAAATTGTGCAACGTGAAAGATCTTGATAATGGTTGATGATGGGATGCTGTCACTGTGGGCCACTGAACAGTGTGACTTTGCATAATGCCTCCGGCTTTAGACAGGCAGGATGAGCCAAGAAGTATGGGAAAGTTAGTTTTTTCATTCGGCTATCAAGCAGCCTATCAAGATGTTCGTCACGTGACACGGTGGAATGGGATTAAATATGGCTTTATGATAAAGTTACGAGCCTGCCAGCCTCTTGGTTTCTGATGACAATATTAATGATAGGATTACTAGAGATTGAAAGTTCGTGATGGTTTTGATAATGAACTTGAATTATATGCCCCATGCAAATTGGGTTTATTCAATGAAATATGAATGAGATGCACACGTTTCTCTCCTAAACTATTCAAACTAAAAAGAAATTGCAAACTTTATTATATCCTTTATTATATCCTTCATTACTATCACCGTGGCAACCAAATCGCTTTATTCTCAAGCATATTTACTGCCAGATTTATGCGATGATACTTACTGGACGATGGAAGCATCTGATCTTCGCTTTATCGCAGCTCTCCGCTCTAGTTTCTTTGAAGTTGAAGATTAACAGCTCTGAGAAAGGCGATGCTCAGCGGGCATAAGACACATTTTTCTTGAAGTCCAAAAACCAATCAAATATGTAGAAGAATCATCCGCCCACCCTCTTGTCGTCGTCGTCATGGGTGTCCGTCATCATCATCGTTCAATTAGGGGAGCTCTTCGAAACATCAGAGCGCTTTATGGAGAGCCACTTGAAGATTAAATTTCCATTTTTATTTTTACACCCCATCCACAGCCACTGGACCGGGATCAGCCGAACGGACGGCCGCAGTGGCGCTTCACGGTGTTCGCCCAGGACGAAGGCGGCGAGGGTCTGGTCGGATATGCGGACGTGCAGGTCAATCTGAAGGACATCAACGACAACGCACCGATCTTCCCGCAGGGTGTGTACTATGGGAACGTCACTGAGAACGGAACCGCCGGTATGGTTGTGATGACAATGACTGCCGTGGACTATGATGATCCCAACGAGGGTAAGCAGTTGAATGTAGTGAAGTGAAGGTATGTTTCTCATTGAGCATTATTTGATTCCAACGGCAGGTACGAATGCGAAGCTGATTTATTCGATCGAGAAGAATGTGATAGAAGAGGAAACGGGTTCGCCGATATTCGAAATTGAAGCCGATACCGGTGTCATCAAAACGGCCGTCTGCTGTCTGGATCGGGAACGAACACCAGACTACTCCATACAGGTGGTGGCGATGGATGGAGGGGGGCTCAAGGGGACTGGGACGGCCTCTATACGCGTCAAGGATATAAACGATATGCCGCCGCAGTTTACCAAAGACGAATGGTTCACCGAGGTGGACGAAACGGACGGTACGAATCTGCCGGAGATGCCTATTCTCACGGTGACGGTTCACGACGAGGATGAAACGAACAAGTTCCAGTACAAGGTGATCGACAACAGTGGCTATGGAGCGGATAAATTCACCATGGTTCGGAATAATGACGGTACGGGTAGTTTGAAGATCGTTCAGCCGCTGGATTATGAAGACCAGCTGCAGAGCAATGGCTTCCGGTTCCGTATTCAGGTTAACGATAAGGGCGAAGATAACGATAACGATAAGTACCACGTGGCGTACTCGTGGGTGGTTGTGAAACTGAGAGACATCAACGATAACAAACCTCAATTCGAGCGACCGAACATTGAAGTTTCGGTGTACGAGAATGCCGACGTGGGCAAGACGCTGGAAACATTCAAAGCCACCGATCCGGATCAAGGCGGAAGAAGCAAAGTTTCCTACGCCATCGATCGGTCATCCGATCGGCAACGACAGTTCTCGATCAACCAGGAAGGCACGGTTACCATTCAGCGGCAGCTGGATCGTGAAGTTACTCCCAGACATCAGGTAAAGATCCTCGCCATCGACGATGGTATTCCACCGAAAACTGCCACCGCAACGCTGACCGTGATCGTGCAGGACATCAACGATAATCCCCCCAAGTTCCTCAAAGACTACCGACCGGTACTGCCGGAGCATGTTCCCCCGCGGAAGGTTGTAGAAATCCTAGCCACCGACGATGACGATCGTTCCAAGAGTAACGGTCCTCCGTTCCAGTTCCGGTTGGACCCCGGTGCGGATGACATCATTCGAGCTTCGTTCAAGGTCGAACAGGATCAGAAAGGTGCCAACGGAGATGGTATGGCGATCGTGTCATCGTTGCGATCGTTCGATCGCGAACAGCAGAAAGAGTACCTGATTCCTATCGTGATTAAAGATCACGGCAATCCGGCCATGACCGGTACCAGTACCCTAACGGTGGTGATCGGTGATGTCAATGACAATAAGATGCAACCCGGGTCGAAGGAAATCTTTGTATACAATTACCTAGGGCAAGCACCGGATACGCAGATAGGAAGAGTCTACGTGTACGACCTGGACGATTGGGATCTTCCTGATAAGAAGTTCCACTGGGAGACGAATCACGAGCATGCAAGATTTAAACTTGATGAGGAATCGGGTATGATAACGATGCGGACGGGAACGAAAGATGGCCGATATCACTTGCGGTTCAAGGTGTACGATCGGAAACATACGCAGTCGGACGTTCAGGCAAATGTGACGGTAACGGTGCGAGAGATTCCTCACGACGCGGTGACCAATAGTGGCTCGATTAGGATAGCAGGCATAACCGATGAAGATTTCATTCGGGTGTGGAACTATAGGACACAGAGCTTGTCAAGAAGTAAACTGGATCGGTTCAAGGACAAGCTGGCGGATTTGTTGAATACGGATCGGGAGAACGTAGATGTGTTTAGCGTGCAGCTGAGGCGGAAGCACCCGCCGCTGACGGATGTTCGATTCTCGGCGCATGGATCCCCATACTATAAACCTGTGAGACTGAATGGAATAGTGTTGATGCATCGAGAGGAGATTGAGAAGGACGTGGGTATTAATATAACGATGGTTGGCATCGATGAGTGCTTGTATGAGAATCAGATGTGCGAAGGCTCGTGTACGAATACACTGGACATAAGTTCACTGCCGTATATGGTGAATGCGAACAAGACTTCGCTGGTTGGGGTACGGGTGGATGTGCTAGCCGAGTGTACATGTGGTGCGAGAAACTTTAGCAAAGCTGAATCGTGTCGATCGTCTCCGTGCTACAATGGAGGTCGCTGTATGGAAACGCGATACGGGTTGTCGTGTTCATGTCCCACGGGCTACACAGGACCCCGGTGCCAACAGACGACGAGAAGCTTCAGAGGCAATGGTTGGGCGTGGTATCCACCACTGGATATGTGTGACGATTCTCACTTAAGTTTCGAGTTCATCACCCGAAAATCTGACGGTCTGCTATTGTACAACGGACCGATTGTTCCACCGGAGCGAGATGAGCTTCTCGTGTCTGATTTCATTTCCGTCGAGTTGGAGAGAGGTTTTCCAAGACTGCTGATTGACTTTGGTTCCGGAACGTTGGAGTTGAGAGTTAAAACTAAAAAGTCACTGGACGATGGTGAATGGCACCGGCTGGACATATTCTGGGACACGGAAAACGTACGGATGGTGGTGGATTACTGTAAATCGGCGGATGTGAACGAGCTTGAAGATGGATCATCTCCGGAGTTTGACGATGCGACTTGCCAAGCCCGGGGAACGATTCCTCCGTTCAACGAGTATCTAAATGTGAATGCACCACTGCAGATAGGAGGATTCTATCGGGAACAGTTTGATCCGACTCACTTCAGGTGGAACTACATGCCGATGGGTAAAGGCTTTGATGGTTGTATAAAGAATTTGGCGCACAACAGTAGATTGTATGATTTGGCACATCCTGGCTTGTCTAGGAACAGTGTGGCCGGCTGCCCGCAGACGGAGGAAGTTTGCAGCCAGAGTGAGCAGACTTCGCGTTGCTGGGAACATGGAAACTGCGTGGGCAGCTTCACGGAAGCCAGGTGCCAGTGCAGGCCAGGATGGACCGGTCCGGCGTGCAACATACCGACAATTCCGACGACTTTCAAACAGCAAAGCTACGTAAAGTATGCGCTTAGTTTCGAACCCGATCGTTTCAGTACGCTGATTCAGCTGAGGTTCAGAACGAGGGAGCAGCATGGCGAGTTGTTCCGGGTGAGTGATCAGCACAATCGCGAGTATGGAATTTTGGAAATCAAGGACGCGAGGTTGAGATTCCGGTACAATTTGAATTCGCTGAGGACGGAAGAACGGGACATTTGGTTGAATGCAATCGCTGTGGACGATGGTCAGTGGCACGTGGTGAGGGTGAACCGTCACGGCTCGGCAGCGACGCTCGAGCTGGATGGCGGTGAAGGTAGGCGGTATAATGAAACGTTCACCTTCGACGGCCATCAGTGGTTGCTGGTGGACAAACAGGAAGGTGTCTACGCCGGCGGTAAAGCGGAATATACAGGCGTTAGAACGTTTGAAGTTTATGCTGACTACCAGAAGAGCTGTCTCGATGACATACGGTAAGTGGATTCTGGGTGGGTGAGTTGTTTTGAGCAGCTATTGAACCGTGATGTGTTTGTTTTTTTGTTTTATGATCCAACAGACTGGAAGGCAAACATTTGCCTCTTCCGCCGGCGATGAACGGCACCCAGTGGGGCCAGGCTACGATGGCTCGTAACCTGGAGCGAAACTGTCCGTCCAACAAGCCCTGTGCGAACGTCATCTGTCCGGATCCGTTCGAATGTGTGGATCTATGGAATGAGTACGAGTGCACGTAAGTACCTCCCAGTTCCAGTGAAGGGAAAGACCATATATAAACCATCATAAATCAGACATCATCGCATAACTCATCATCCGAACATAACATTCACGTGCTTCTCTAACTCTCATGTCGGATTTTGTTGTTTATTATTCATCCATGTACTAACCCATCCATCCATTCAGAGGGACTAGCAAAATAAAACGACGAACAAGATCCAACGGACGCGACTACCACCGACTTCCTACATCATAAAAAAAAGCACTGAGCTTCATAAACTACAAGGCGGAAGCGACAACTTCAACCAAGCACGAAACATGAAGCTTTTGCTGCTCGGGAACCGAAATCACAAATCTCATCATATTTTTATTCCCAAACCACACAGCGATGTTCTAATGTTGCTGGTCGGACGACCAAATCTAGCCAACGTCATCGCAAAAGATGGCATTTTTTATCAACCAACATAGCAGCATAACTTTGATTGTCCTTCGTGATTTTCAACCACCGCCGCCACCACAATTCATCATCAAATGCTTAATAAATATAAAGCTTCGCTCATAAATTACATGATTTATAGCCCAGATGTTCACTTGTGGAAGTCAGGCATGTTTCCTTTTTTTTACTGTCCCACTGGCCAAACACACGGTGATAAAACTTGTTCCTCAGAGGACGATAAATTAGAATAAGCCATTCTAATTTTCTGAGCCAAATCGGATGCAGTTCGGTTCCCGCTACGGTCGAGCTTTCGAATGACAATCAAAACCCAATTAGTGTTTCGTGCCAGGTTGATTAAATCTTTCCCAGACGGACTCCATGTATCATCTTTCTTTTCTGTCGTACTCAAACATACAAACCACTATCATCAAGACTGTTGTTTTTTTTTTTTTCCTTTCGGTTGAGAATTAATTTTGCTGCATACTCGTGAGAATTACTTTCATTTGCTTACATTTCAAGCGAATTCCATCTTTTCATCATACCACCTATCCTATACCACCTCCAACAGCCGTCATCGTCAGGCACACGGACTGTCCCTCAAGGTATTTTCCTGTGTGCACTGGATGATGGTTGTGTTACAAAATTTCCTAATGAGAATTCCTGTCTCTATGTATCCTGCAAAGCTCGTAGACAAACAACTTCAAATTATTCGCAACCACCGTCATTGTCGTCGTCAGATCGCTCCAGATATAGATTTCCATGGCCCTAAAGATGATGAAAGATGTAAAATCCCCTCATGCATATATGTACGAGCGTCATTGTTGCGCGTCGAAAATTTATCATCAAGCTTTTGAGGTGTTTTTGTTGTCCCCTGAAGAAAATCGATACTTTGTATGAAAACTAGTAAAGTTTCTCACTCGGTGCCGTTATAATATGTGATACACCGGCATTGGTCCTCATTGTAATAGACATTGTCGAAGACACTGTAAATTCTAAATGCTGAATTGAGAACGGTGAAAATTTCTAGAATTTGTCTATAGGGGAAATGGCTCTAATGTTGGATCTAAGATTGGGCCCATCGCTAAAAAGCTGCTATTTTTCAATTTTATCTAGATGAACGCGTCATTGGGACTGTACTAATGGATATTTTTGGCTACTATTGAAAATTTAGTCAATTGCTGAATTTATGCATGGGCCCAAACTAGGGACATTTAGGCCGACATTACATACATTTCCCCTATTTAGCCAATGGATCATAATGGTTTGAAACGTACTACAGGGGCAAAAAGCATCTAGTGTGTTATTTTAGAACAGTGGTGCTCATACCCATTTTCTCAATAGCTGTATATTTGGTCGATGGACATATTTTAAGTAGCATTTTGCGTATTTCCCAAACATTTTGGCCATACATTCGAAATGCAAAAAGAAATTCAAGCTTTTGTTGTAGCATCATAGAGATCTAAGCCCCCGGGCCGCACAAAGCTCCTGGGATTCTTAGAATTTCTTGTAAACAGTTAAAAGTTGACAAAATCGTCACTTGTTGGAACGAAAACAATAATATCGGTGAATATGAGTAGCCACTAAATTTTAATAGTAAGGGTAAATGACTGTTGTTGAGTCAAACTGACCTTCTGAAAGCAAAATTGACAAATTTTATATGTCATACACAAACTTTACCACCTCTTCTTGCATCTTACAAATAAAAATTATCGTTATAGTATCTCATTGCTTTATAATTACGAAAAATAGCATTTTAGCTGTAATGAGCAATTGCAAGCCTGGCTTCAACCAAAACTAACTCCATTTCAAATAAACAATTAAAATAGCCCAATAAACTTCTGGAGAAAGAAATTCCAATAGTATCTTGTTTCAAACCGGAGCACAATCATAAAAGTTTGGAGTTCATTCTTTTTGATTACAATTAAAGTTAAATTTGGGACTTTATCCTTGATTTTATACCTAATTCCATGATCTTGGAAGTTAGTTAGTCCAAGGTATCGAACATTCTAGGTAAATGCATTACTTCGTTCTGTTAATCTCCTCGGAGAACCAAGTCAATAAGCACCCGAACGATTGATTCTTCCCTAATTCACTCGGTATTTACCGTTTCAATATTTCCGGTCGATCCTTCCATTTAACGACGACCGCATAATGCAACCGACCACCGCTAACATGAAATTTGATCTGAATGATGAATCTTTTCATCAATCAGACTAGTATCCCTTCATACGGCTAAATTGCCGTTTTCTGCACGTCCGCTCATCATAACTAAAATAGTTGCTAAAACACAATGTTCGGTGTAGTGGTGCAATCAATTTCCAACGCCCACAAAGGGCTTCTTTTTTCAACTACAACATCAAAACGACCTCGGCAGTTGAGCTGAAACAGACGGTCGTCCCGAGTAGGTGAGAAAAGCAAACCAATAGCAAGTTTTGCTATTAAAAATAGGATATCAGAACATCTCAATTTGTTATTAGTTTGATTGAAATAAGAGTTAAAATATCAAAAATAATAACGGAAACCGTTCGGGAGAAAAACTAAATAATAGCAAATCTTGTTATTGCAATATCAAACTAAGAACAAAAAATCAAAAAAAGTCCAAAACATATTTAGCTATTATTAAGATATTAAGAACTAATCAATTGCAAAATGTGATATTAACTAATAAGAACTAATTAAGAATAAATTCAGTTGTTCGGATTGAATAACAAAATAATAGCAGCTTTAGTTATTCTTCTTAGAGAGCTTAATAAAAGTATTTTTTTCGGTGGAGAATCAGTTTTACTGATAATAATGATTGAATTCAACAATTCGGCAAAGCTTTTTTTTATTTGTGATAATAATAACGATAAAATCAACATGAAATAAAAACGTAACTTTCTAAAAAAAAACGAACAATGGCTGAACAAAACAGATTTGAAGTGTTGTTAATATATTGAAATGTTTTAAATAATATTTTTTACATTGCTGGCCAACAACTGCACTCCAAAAAGTTATGCCATAATATTTATTCATATGAACTAACAGATATTATTAAAGTAATGCGAGTCAACGACACAATTCGTCAATGTATAAATATATGCATGAAAATGAACGATCGATCATTGCAGTTTATTTCTAAATGTAAAATCCATACACAAATTGATTGATTTATGGGTCCACATTTCAAGTATTTATGGTATTTATATTACGTAAGTCTTTAAAATCTGTCGATCATATACAAAGTACAAAATAAAAATAAATACCTACCATTAAAATAAAAAAAAATTAAAATTTCTGAAACATTGAAATGAAAAAAATATTCACCTTACGATTAAAATTAGAGTCTAAAAATGGAAAAGAATATAAATATGATGCCAATAGCAAAATAAGATACAATATCATAAATTGTTGTGGAGTTTTTCTTCGACTGTTTTATGACTCAAAATTTTAATATCATGAAAATAACAAATTTTGATGTGATATCATATTTTGTTATTAGATTTAGATTTAGTGTTATGGGAAAATAACATAATAATATCAAGATAAGCTATGATAGTAAAATTTGCAATTGGTTAGTTCTTGGTTTGCTATTCTCATCTACTCGGGGTCATAGCCGCTGTCGTCGGTATACTACATCGGTGTGGATGGTATGGATGTTACTGGGCTTGCGATTTTGCAGCGTGCGGTTCCAATGGAGATGGTAGCTTGGAGACCAATAGTTGGCTTTTGTTCGCAGAGCATTGGGATTTCAAGCGCATGATTCTCGGACCGGTAACGTAAAAAGCGATGCGAAACTGGGATCACCGTGACTCCGGCAGTCAAGTTTGAACTTTTTCAGTCTGATCTCAACGGTAACGATGACTTTCTATAATTGCCATTATTGTCTTTACCGGTTTACTATCGCAATATGGAAAAGTGTGTTAGTAATTTTTAGTTTGAATTTCCGATTTATTTGATTTCTTTATGAAAAAAATTACTAACATTTGTATTTCGCGATATTGGAGATTGATATCCCGAGGAGATTCCAGCATCAAAATTACAACAAATCGAAATCAAAGTTTGACATCAAAATCAAACTGAAATCATAATTTGATTTCAGTTTGCGAAGTTGACAAATTAGGTAACAAATTTTGTTTTGATTTTGCCGTACATTTGCGCTTCAAAAATATGTGTTTGCAGTTTTGTTTTCATTGCCAAAGGTGAACATCGAATTGAATACTCGTACTGTTGTCAACAGTAAAAATGTACATCAAAGTTAGCTCTAATTGATAGCAGAACTTATTTTCAATGTTCACAACATCAAATTAAGTTTTCAATTTGATCTCATACTTTGCTCGGAATGTCTTCCGGATAAATGCAATTGGTGCATCCGTTCACTTGAACATTGTGATCACACTGACTGTTTGAAAATGTCTCGTTGTGTTCCAGCATGAGAGCTGTCCCGCTGATAAAGATTACTCACGTTGCTGTCGTTCAAAATATCAAAATTGAGAACACAAAAATCTTCCTGTGACAGCAAATTTGAAAACAAATTATGCTACCAGTGAGAGCAAACTGACAACTCATATTGATGTACATTTTTCCTGTTGATAGCAAAA